GAAACACATAAATTAACTTTTTCACAATTCTGGAGGTAATAATTCCAAGGTCTTGGGTTTCATAGGATTGATTCATTCTATGGTCATTTTATAAGATTTGTAAAAGCCCATATTTTTCCTCTGTCTTTCTACAGTCATTTCTCTGCATGATAATGAGTAACAATGAGTAACAAGTAACCATGTAAATATCACTAGCAAAAGCAAATATACAATCACAATCAGAATATTCTAACGTGACAATGGTGGTGTTTGAAGCACTTTATATCCTTGGCATGAAATTTAAAAGAAAAACAGGTAAACAATAAGAGTTTGATGAAGGATGTACAATATTAAGCATGTAAATTATTACCTGAAATGTAAATTATATAAACAAAAATTTTAGAGTGGCTGAAAGGATAATAAAAGAACTAAGGATACTCTGCTCACAAATGACTTATTTCACTTTTACATAGCCAAAAAAAAAAAAATGAACAAGGTATATGGAGAATATTTCATGCAGTTACATTTTTATCAGAAAAATATATATTTTAAATAGAAAACTGTATAATCAAATGTGGAAATTATATAATAATCAAAGCAACCAAGGGAGAAGCTGTAACAATTATAAATATGCACACACATAACATGGGAGCATGCAAAATATAAAGCAGTCATTAAAACTAAAGGGATAAATAAATTGTGATTCAAAACTAGTAGAAATAATCAGCATCTCATTTCTAGTAAAGCAGACTTCATTCATGCAGAAAATCAATGAGAATTTGGATAAAGTGCACTCCAGATCAAATGCATTTACAGATCACTCCATTCAACCAGTGTAAAATACATATTTTCACTACACATGGTCCATTCTCCAGGATAAAGCATGTACTAGGCCACATTTTAATAAATGTAAGAAAACTAAAATAACATCAGACATTACTTCTGATAACAATGATTTATTGTTTGTGTGTGTGTGTGTTTTAGATTTATTTATTTATTTGAAAGGCAGAGTTATAGAGAGGCAGAGGCAGTGAGAGAGAAAGCCTTCTATCTGCTGGCTCACTCCTCAAATGGCTGCAATGGATGGCTGGAAATGTGCTAATCTGAAGCTGGGGGATAGGAGTTTCTTCTGCATCTCCCACATGAGTGCAGGGGCCCAAGTATTTGGGCCATCTTCTACTGCTTTCCCAGGCTATAGCAGAGAGCTAAATTGGAATTGGAGCAGCCTGGACTCCAACTGGTGCCCATATGGTATGCCAGCATTGCAAGTGGCAGCTTTACCCACACCACAGCACCTGCCCTAGCAATGGTTTAAAATTAGAAATTAATATCAGGAGGTACTTCAGAAAATTCACAAACATATATAAATCAAAAACCTATATTTAGAGTGTTTTTTAAGGTCTGAAATGAAATATTCATTTATATAGTGAAGGTCTGTGTTATTTGACCAAGGGAAATGAAAGCATACCTATACTCAAAGACAAAATACTTGCATTCAAATTTTTATCTTAAGTATACTTACACTATTCTCAAATTGAAAATGAAGTAAATGTTAATCAAAGGAAAATTGAATAAACTATGGTACAACCACAGAAAGAAATAATAAACAGCAATAAATGAAACTACTGATAAATGTAAATATATAAATAGATCTCAAATATATTGTGATAAATGGATGATGTCACAATCATATTATATATAGCATCATTCTGTTCATATCACAGTTTGTACAAATCAAAACTATGAAAATTGAGAACATATCCGCAGTTGCCAGACCACAGGATAAAAGGAAGTCACTGATGACAAAGTGGTGTGAATGGACATGTCAGAATGAAGGAAATGTTCTTTATTTGATTGAATTGTCAACAAAAGTGTTGGATAAAATTCATGAGGTCAGCATTTTTGTATGTTGGATGTATATGAATATACATTGAAACGTAATCACTTTAACTTTGAAAGCTTGCTGTTTCTTCAAGTAGTCTTTAATTCAAAGCGGGGTTATCTGTAGAGCCGACAGGGACTAGATGAAAGCAGGAGCTGACAGTGACTGGGAAAAGTCGGTTTTTGTTGCTGGCTGCACTTTGCTTCTTTCTTAGTCTTGGTTCTGTTTTAACATTGAAGCTTGTGAAAAGCTGTTAAGTGCTAAGCTTATGATGTTTCTAAAGACTTTCTAATTGACTTCCGAACTATATGTGAATGTAGACGGAGTCACATAATTTCTTTCCCATTTCACTTCCACAGCTTCAGTCAGCATCTCTCTCATCTGGGACAGAGCCTCCTCATGGGACCTGCCTGAGTCCATTCCTGACCTGCACTGTGCATTTCCACAAGCCAGGAAAGTGTACATCAGAGGAGGTTAAGCCTCAGCTTAACATCATTCAGCAGTTTGCTTAATTTTGTATTATTTTTATTTATGTTACATAGAGTATAAAAATTTAATATATATATATAAATGAAATTGATATCTTGGGATCTGATTATTGTTTACAGCCCTCGTCTATATTCCTGCTGAACTGTGGTCTTTCTAGTTTTTACTGTTGACCTCTTCATTTAGTGGAGCACTAAGCCTTTGACGATGGAGTAAGTTACAAATAAGTTCTCACTAAAATTCAAAATGAATGTAAAAAAAGGCAGGAGGAACAAGGGCGTATCACTATATTCTGTATGTATGTATGTACTGTAGCTATGTACTGTATGTATGAACCACTTGAGATCTATCCTCTCTATATACATAAAAACTACATATGTTTTTTTCTAGTTAAATTTTCTTCAATAAAATTTGGACTGCTTTAAACTCTTATTTTGTTGTATAATTTTTAATAAGTTCTCCAAACTGTTGGTCAAGTACTGTTTAAATCCCAATTATACTAATGCTTCTCCCATTAAGAACTGTCAATAAATGACTGGGTTTATTTTATAATTATGCTTTCCCTAGTTTTAATATTTAAGAAATAATACTTTAGTGTTTTTAATTGTTTCTCTCAGATTGTTAATTATCTTGTTATATTTTATATGAATTTTTCTTCATATCTCTCCCTTCTAGTATCCCTTTAATTATATTTTATATATTTGCATTTTGCAAAATTACTCATTTTATAACTTTTGGTTTTACTTATTTTTAATTTATAATTCTACACTCTATAAATCATTCTTCTATACCCTCCTGATGCTCATTTATCTCTTCAGTTTAAAAAATATTAAACAAATATAAAATTATACATATTAATGGGGCATATGTGATATTTCAATATATTTTTACATTTTATAATGTATGATTAGGGTAAATATTGATGCATATATATATCCTCAAATATTTAACAAATTAATAGAAAAACATTTAATATCCTATATTCTAGCTTTTACTACACTACATTAAAACTTTTCACCATCACCTTACTGTTCAATGAACCCCAAAACTTCTTACTCCCATTTAATTGTAACTTAGCACCTATTAATCAACCTTTCTCACCCCAATTTGTCCATTTCTCTTCAACCCCACAGCCTGTGGTAATCATTGTTATACCTTTAACTTCTACGAGATCACCTTTTTAGACTGCCCAAGTGAATGAAGACTAAAGATACTTATCTTTGTATCCTTGACTTATTTCAATTGACATAACAACATTTAGTTCCATTCATGTTGTTGCAAATGATGAGATTCATACTTTATATGGCCAAGTAATATTCCTTTGTGTATATAATATATAAAACACATTTTTTTACCTATTCTGTAATGGAAAGTTAGGTTGTTTCCATTATTTTGCATACCGTAAATAGTGTTGCAATGAGCATGGGAGAGCAAATGTCTCAAAAACAGACTGATTTCACTTCCCTTGAATACATATCAAGCAGTGGGATGCTGGATCATACAGTAATTCTAGTTTTAGTTTTTTGAGGAACTCCCATACTGTTACCATAATGGATATACAATTTATTTGTACTTTTTTCTGAGCTGGAATTTTTATAAGTATAGTTCATATTTTTTCAGGTCCTTAATTACACTCTTGAAAATATTATCAATATATTTGTTATAGGTGTAGAATAGATTAAATATTTTTCTGTGATTTATTCTTGGCAAGGAAACACATTAATAACAGAACAGAACAAAAGTGCCAAGTTTTGTTCCCAATGTGTCAATTGTCAAGTCCACTATTTGAATGGATTGCAGTGTGTGAGGGAAGGTAGACAGAAAATTAAAAAAAAAAACAACAACAACAACAACAAAAAAAAAAAACCTTGGAAAGTCCTTCATAAAATTTGGAACTAGGTAATGTGTTAGTCTGCTTTTGTTTAGTTTAATTAAATTAACTGACAGGAGTTTCTTTGTGAAAGAGAAAAGGTTTATTTTACTTACAGTTTGAGCTGAGAGCATTGAGTGACCCCAGACCCCAGCATGTGCTGCAGGCTAGTTACAGAAGGTGTGGTGGCAATGATTACATTGTGAACCAAGAAGCAGAGTGAAAACTTTGGACAAACTTCCCACTAGAACCACCTTAAAACACCCTGGATGAACAGCAGGCCTTCCATCAGCCCCACACCTTAGACATCTTCACTAGAACAAGACTCAGCCTTTCATCACTCAACCATTTCATGAAGACATCAGGTTTTAGACAAGCATGAGTTTTGGTGACACAAATCATAGTCAATACGTAGCAAGCAGTAACTTCATGGTGAATGCTGAAAACTTACTATAAACAAAGTGAAGACACATCAATTCATAAAATCCTAAGGTATCAGCTCTATCCACAGAAAGTGAAAGTCAAATAATGTAACAGCAATAGAGTTACATCAAATAACATTTAATGTGGCTTTTTGAACTTAATGTGCAGTGTATAAGCACATAGTTTATATTTGAAAAATCATAGATTGGAGGGCTAATTAATTCTGGGTAAGAAATAGTCTAGGACATAAAAACATTATTAACCAAACCAATAGCTTTCCTCTCTGGTTTCTAATGACAGATTTATGAACTGACACAGCAATATTTTCAGGTTTACTTTATTTCTGAAAATGTCATCAATTTATAAAATAATTTCTCTCAAGCATTTTTTCATTGCCTGTTTCACATCTTTATTCCTCAAACTGTAGATGATGGGGTTTAGCATGGGAATCACAATGGTATAAAATATGGACACTATCATATCATGCTGTGAAGCAGAGTTGGGATTTGGTCTCACATACATGAAGAGGATTGTTCCATGATAAATGGACACTCCTGTTAGGTGAGAACCACATGTAGAAAAAACTTTTTGCCTCCCTTCGGCAGAACGCATCCTAACAATGGCCAACAGAATGAAACCATAGGAGACCAGGACAATCAAGATAGTGACTATCTCAATAGAGCCCACGAAGTAGAAGAGGAGAAGCTGGTTTATGTGGGTGTCAGAGCAGGAAATTGCAAGGAGTGGAGGGATATCACAGAAGACATGTCTAATTTCATTGGATGCACAGAAGGACAGACTAAATGTGGCCACTGTGTGCAATGTAGCATGCAAAATGCCACCAGCATAGGAAGCAATGATGAGTGGCACATAAACTCTGGGTGACATGCTCACAGAGTACAGAAGTGGGTTGTAGATGGCTACATAGCGATCATATGCCATAGCAGCCAACAGGAAGGATTCTGTGCTCCCAAAACTAACGAAGAGAAGCATCTGAGTTGCACATCCGTAATATGAAATAGATTTATCTTCTGACAGGAAATTGACCAACATTTTGGGAGTGACAACTGTAGAATAGCAGGCATCCAAGGATGATAAAACACTCAGAAAATAGTACATGGGGTTGTGAAGCTGAGAATTCCCAATGACCAATATAACCAGTCCTAAATTTCCTATCAGAGTAAAGAGGTAGATTCCTAGGAAAAGTAAAAATAGGATGACTTGCAGGTCAAAGTCATCTGTGAAGCCCATCAAAATGAATACAGTGACTTCCGACATATTTGTCAAGTGAATTCTGTGTACATCCAAATATGATGACATTCCATCCATTTCAATCATTATTTATTGGTTCTGAAGATAATCCTGTGAAAATAGAGACCACCCTAGTATATCTTCATGTTTGTTTCTTAGACTGGCATAACCATTTCCTTGCTGGTAACAGGATAGGCAGTGTTAAAAAAGTTGGACCCAAATGGATATATTTTGCTGTAAGAGTAAAATGAAATTTTTTTTTATTTATTGGCTAATGCCATCATTTTGAAACAATGTTCTGTCCAGTTAAGTCGCTATGTCGCAATTCACTTTCTCCTTTTTTTACCCCTTTTTGTTTCTCATTTTAAATCAACTTTAAGTTTCACATATGAACGTGTGTAGGAATATTTAGATCAAAAGTAATATAGTGAGTGTGTAGGTCTAGACTAGCATCCAGTCCACATTGGAGTGCCTGGTTTCAGTAAACATCTCCTGCTCCTGACTCCAGCTTCTTGCTAGTGCAGACCCTATGGAGCAGGGGCAATGGCTAAGTAGATGGCTTTCTGTCACACATATGGGACCTGAATTTTGTTTCTGGCTCCTGGTTTCAGTCCCCAGGCCATTGCTGTCATTTGGAGAATGACCAGTGATGGTGCTTTCTCACTTTTTGTCTAATTTTCTCCTCTATCTCTCTACCTCTGGAAAGGAAAAGAAGCAAGTAAACAAGCAAATAAACAAAAAAAGAAAGGCTTTAAAAAATGGTTATGGTGGAAAGCACACACCATAATCCTAGTTTTGCCACAAAATGCATGAAAGGCCTTTCTTTTTAAAATATTTATTTTGGCTGGTGCCGCGGCTCAATAGGTTAATCCTCTGCCTTGCGGCGCCAGCACCCCGGGTTCTAGTCCCAGTTGGGGCGCCGGCTTCTGTCCCGGTTGCCCCTCTTCCAGGCCAGCTCTCTGCTGTGGCCAGGGAGTGCAGTGGAGGATGGCCCAAGTGCTTGGGCCCTGCACCTGCATGGGAGACCAGGAGAAGCACCTGGCTCCTGCCATCGGACCAGCGTGGTGCACCAGCCGCAGCACGCTGGCCACGGCGGTCATTGGAGGGTGAACCAATGGCAAAAGAAAGACCTTTCTCTCTGTCTCTCTCTCTCTCTCTCACTGTCCACTCTGCCTGTCAAAAATAATATATATATATATATATATATTTTATTTATTTGAAAAGTAGAGCTACAGAGAGAGAGGGAGAGACAAAGGGAAAGAGAGATTTTCCACCTGATGTTTCACTCCCCAAATGGCCAGTAACAGCTGGGGCTTGGCCAGTTCTAGGCCAGGAGACAGGAGCTGCTTCCAGATCTCCCATGTCTGTGCAGGGCCCAAGCACTTGGGCCATCTTCTGCTACTTTTCCAGGTGCATTATCAGGGAGCTGGATCAGAAGTGGAGCAGCAAGGGCTTGAACTGGCACCTATATGGGATGTCGGTGTAGCAGGCAGCTGCTTTACCAGATATGCCACAATGTTGGCCCCCTGAAATGCCTTTCTTTAATGTTGCAGTTGTTAGAATAGGAATAACCACTCATAATATTGTTTTGAATATAAATAAAAAGGATGATCTAAATTATTTTTAGGTTGCCAGTGACTAGAAAATGTTGTTAAATAAAATAAATAAATAAATAAAATAAATAAATGTTGTTAAAATAAATTTTAAAAAAATTAAGAAATACATACATTTGACCTTGTCACATGGGATTACAACAAAATTATTGCATGACCTTTCTTTTCAGAATTATTTGGTTCCAGTAGAAAGAACAACAAACAGTATTCTGTAGATAGATGCACTTTGTATGCAAATAAAAACAACGCAACACATTTGTTTTAAGGGATTTTTTTTTCTTGAGATGCATATCACCACAGTGTCTATATTTGAAACTATGGCATCATTATTTTTCACATTTAATTGAAACAACACAATGTATTTTGCAATTCATATGTTCATTGGGTTTGAAAAGTCTTTAGATGTTGTCAGACACGTTTTTATCAAAAAGCAACCAACAACGAATAACATTTTATAGAAGTTTGTGATACCGTATTGCAGTTGTTCATGAAGTTTCTAAAGGAACTGTTAAATAATTAGTTAATGTTTCTTTACAGAAGCTACTGCTGAAAGATAGTCATTATATTTCCCACAAAGGAGTGCGCTTTATTCCAGATGTTCTAATAAATTTTCCCATTCAATGAAAGATGAATAAAGAAAGTATGTTAAAAAATTATAGTGCCATCTGTTACTACAACGAAAGCTCACTAACTGAAACATAAATTGGATCCACTCTGGTTTCAGGGGAATTTTATCATGCTGAACTTTGTTTCTTACTCACCAGATTAAAAGTGAGTTAAACACTCTGACATACATAAGTTCAGGTACAAACTCTAATGAATCTCACAAATCTGACAAATACTTTATGTCTTTGATGAGAATCATGTTGTAATTCAGCCATGTTGAGACACTCACCTATAAAGAAGAGAATGAGCGGATTAAAAAGTGTCAGAAAGAGAAGAAAACTACTTATCTACAATATCCCAGAAAAACGCACACAGAAATAACTTCATAAACATGGGGATGTAGAACCCCAAAAATGTATCATTGCAGCCTCATGTTTAGAGTGAAAAATACAATTGAGTTGAATTTTTATTTGTTTTTAAATACTGAGAAGCTCTACATTACACAAAAACCTAATACCAATGAGTAATTTTTCTTGAATTGTTATATTGACAAAATAACTCTTAAAGAATGAATAATGTAAATATGAATTAATGTAGTTCTGAGTATCACAGAGTACATTTGTATTTTTAAAATTCCGATTCTCTTTTTCTTCCGCTTCTCTTACTCAATTGATTCACATTCCCTCTCTCTCCATCTCTCATGCAAGAATCAGCAGAATATAAACAAAAATATAAATTGTAAAATATCATGGTCAAACAGGAATTAGGCAGTAAAGGAAGAAGCACAATGGAAAGAAAAAATATACAAAAAAATTTCTGTGGAGTGTACAGATGGGTAGTTTACTAAAATAACCCATTACAAAATACATTTGACATACATACACAGGAGAAATTACAATTGCATTGTAATTCTAAACTTACACTTTCTGACATATCAGAAAAAAGGTATCATGGAAGAAAAAATTGCATGTGTGCCCTAAAACTCTATATTAAAAATTTAGAATTTATTGTAAATGTGAACTTGAAAAAGTTAACTCTCCTTTCAAATGGAAGAATAATAAAAGTAACTAGAATTTTCATGTATATTTGTTCTATTACTTGAAGCTTTACTTATATTGAAGAATGCAAGCCTATGAAATATGATCTCCATATTTTATTTATACATTAAAATAGCTATTTATAAAATTAAATATGAAATGAAAAATTGAGCAATTAGTAGATTCCAAACCAGAAGCAAATTCTTTTTGTTTTTTGTACATTTTATGACACTAAATGTATATTAAAGATTAAACATAATGACTTCTGATACTCTGTCACATATTTTTTACTCATTTTAACATGAGTTTCTGTTATTGTATATCAGTAGTACCCATTGAAGTAGAGTAATATGTTTATTTAAATTCCCATGATACTCTTGTCAATAGAATTCGCTAGTAACACTTGCTGTCTTCAATCTTATTTGTGGAACAACAAGATAGCTTATGAATTAAAGTGCATTTTTTTCCAAATTGTGTCCCATTAGAGCACTTTATACTTTGATTAAGGAACTGTGGCATGAGATTTAACTACTTCATCCACACTGGTCTTCAAACAGGCATTCATATTAATTGATATGTAAAGAATATGGAAATGTCTAAGTGATTTCCCTCATGGATGAGAGAAAGAAACACAACATGATCAATCTCTAAAACTAAAATAAAATCAGTTCCTAAAACACATAGCCATAAATTCTGAATTTGAGACGTCTGTGAGAATAATGTTACTGTGGTTAAGAAGAAGTTGTGATGGCACCCTTCACATAGCATTCAACAGCCCTAAGGGGTTAGCAATGATGCATCCTTATCTCTATGTTACTCACACAGAAGCCTATAAAATTAATAATAAATCAGCATCCTTATTTAGCTAAGAAACCTGAGATCTATCTGGACCCATAGGTTGGTCACCTTTAGACAGTCACTTAGTAGCTGAGTTGGGACTGATGAACAGGCTGCTCTGACTCCACACTCTGTGTTATTAATCATGTTGCAGTTATGGCAACTTGCCTTAAACATTGAAATGCTATCCGCCAAAATAGTAGCGATATAGCATTTTTGTGTGTTTGAGTTCCTTGGTAAAGAAAATATGTTCTGATGGTTGAATAGACCATGAATTTTTTTAAAAAACATTAATTGTAAAGCAATTAGGAAACTAAAATAATAAATTTAAATGTGTTTGCTCTTCTTCATAAGATGAAGACAATGATCCCAAAGTGAAATATATCCCACTGTTGATTAAAAGGTAATTTTGTCTCCATCTAATCATTTTTCAAAATTTTAAATACAGCCCAAAATTTTACTCTTCTCTAACTCATGTTTCATCATCAAGAAAGTTAATCAAATCTTATTATACAGCTTTATTGATAAAATATGTAGGGAATCCCTGCTTTTTATCTTGTTATGTTACCTAGAAAGTAGATGATTGAATTTGTAATACACTTTGAATTTAATATAATCTTTCTCTTAAATTTAAATATTAAAGACTACAGCTTCAAATTCGATATAACTTCAAAAATATCTTGTAAGTGAACAGAAGTCTTCTTTCTTACCATAGAAAATGTTCTCCCGATTCAATTGTGGAATATTGTGACTATGAATACTGTGCCTTTGGTATCTTATATTAGCTTCTCAAGCACTTAGAGTCCATGGAAACTCTCCAGGGAGGAACACACTAATTCTTTTCAGGGACAAAACTCTATCAAGGTGATTTTTTTTTGCACAGTAAACACATAAACATTGATTAAATAATGAACGACTTAATGAAAATTATTATAATAACTCCTTAGCCTTTGGTTTGAAAAATTGATCCCTTGGTGAAAGGAGA